GTGTTAATTCTAAATAAACGATGACAAATGTATAAAAAATTTGGCATAAGGTTGTTCACTGCAGTGTGTTTATGAAAGTATTAGCAAAAAGAAAGCAAAGAGGGAAGGCTATTACAAAAAGGGATTTGGTTCAATAAAACCATGGAAATCTATACAATGGAATGGTATACATTTAACAAAAATAATTTTGTAATTGAGTATTTAATGAAGCTACAATAAGTAAAAAAAATAAATACAGTATAATTCAATTTTGTTTAAAAAAATGTGACAAGTGTGTGTAATGATAGGATATATGTGTGATAGGGGTGTGTGTGTGTGTGTGTGTGTGTGTGTGTACACAGACTCCAAGGTTATACAGCAAAATATTATTAATAGTGATTATCTCTTATAGGTTTATTTATATGCAATTTTTGTTCTTTTTGTTTTTCTATTGTCTAAGTTTTCCACATTTTTGCAATAAGGGAAAAAGTTACTAATAAAAAGTACACAATGTGCAGTGAATTAAAATCTTGAAAACATGAAGATGTACTTTGGCCAAAGAAAAGAAATCCCTTCAACTTGTTTACAAAGTAAATGATCCAATACACAGATGTACTCTTTAGCTTCCTGGACACTCCCTGAATTCACATGTTTTTTTAACACAAGTTCAAGTGAAACATACAAAAGTATTTAGCTATGAGCATTAAAAAAGATGGCCAAAGTAACGCAAACTTGGGTATCCGAAAAAGTACTGAAAATATTCTTTCTACTCTTTTATTAAAGCAGACCAGGAATGAAACCCGTTTTAACAGTCTTAATTACCCTCAAGAGCCATTTAAATGATATTACAAGAGAAGAGTGCTCTGAAAAAATTTAAAGATGCAATATTCTGTTTCTTTTGAAAGGCCTTCATGAATGTATTATTAGATAATAATTGTTTATTAGATCACTATAATCATATAATGTATCTTCTAAATTTTTTATGACTATGGTATGTCAAGTCTGACTTTTATCCCAGTCATTTAAGCAACATTTATTACAAATAAATACCTTTTAGTTTCTGTTTTTTTCTAACCTCTTCATTGGATAACCTTTCCAGGAGAAATTGAATCCTTCTAAAATTAATTTCCACTATAACCTTTAAAAGGCAAAACTGCTTAAGGAAATTCTAGATGAAAAGTTCTGTAAGCAGGTTTATTCAGAAAAGACTGAAATCTAAGAAATCCACAATAAGTATGTCTACAACTGCTCACCATGCTTACTGTCACCTCAGCATAGTATGTTAAGCATATGACTTACCTCCTGCTACCCTCTCCTACCACATACTCTGTTACTCTCAGCAAAACAAAATATTCTTCTTGACTTCTTAACTTCTGCCATGACACAAAGACATTTGTGATAGTATTATGATTTCATCAGTCACGTGAGAAACCTCTGAGTTCAAGTTCTTATTAGATACTGCATGGGTTATTTTAATAGCCTCCTAATTTGTCTCCCCAAATCTCATCTATCCCCACCTGAATCCAAAAAGCATTAACCGCTAGCTTAAATACCACTTTCATCCTATTACAACCTACCACAATCATCTTACATTGAATTTTATCCTATGAGCAGTGGAAAACAAACTCTTTATAAAAGCATTCAGAAACATTTATTTTTTGCTTCTGTTCACTGTCAACTCTCCTGATCCATCACCAACTTTTACTGCAGACTTACCTATCTGTCCCCCACCTCATTTTCTTGTCATGCAAATTCATCCTCTCAACACCCTCAAGCCTAAGTCTAATATGATTTTCAGTAACTGCTGCAGTTGTAAATAAGTTTTCTCTCAGAATTTCAACAACATTCACATATTGTCTGACTGATTGATTAGGCACTGAATCAACTCTCTCCTCCTACTGTCAAGCAATTATACATCTATGATCTAATTTCATGAAGTAGAGATAAAACCCTATAGGGCTTCATGTTGTACTTCTCATAGCCCTGGGTAGTCAGCTACAAATCCAGTACATTCTTAATTAATATTTAGTGAACAATGAATGATCGGCATCTTTAGTTTGGGGCACTAAAAACTAAAGCAAATTTATTTCTAATTTGCTATGTACCTCTAAGGTTTTTCTCTAATAAAATGTATTTTCTCTAATAAAATATTACTTAATGTAGACTTACAGCCTACTATTTTAAGCCTTTTTCTTAATTTTAGAGAGAAGTGTTAGAGTGTTAACTATATTTGACTTATAAGAACTAGACAAAGTGACCTTTAAAAAATTAAAACCTAGCATTTAATTAGACTTGTACTGCTTAGACTGACATCCAAGAATTAAAATTGATGTACTTTTTCAATTGTTCAAGTACTTAAGTATTTCAGGCTCTTATCTTGAAAAATGAGTGTCTTTCTCAAATCAACACTTTCATAGTTGTCAGATTAAAGGAATTACATATAACAGCTAAAGGAAACAAACCCTCTTGCACAAACTCCTTGTCTTCTCTTTAAATGTCAACTGGGTCCCATCATGTTTTAGGTACATCATCTGAGGAAGTCCTCACAACAATTCCATATGCCAGTGATTGCTTCTATTTTACAGATGGAAGCTTTGGGAGGCTAAGTAACCCACCCAGATTTACCAAGGTGGAGCTAGGATTTAGGTTCCCATATGGCTTATTTCAAACCCTTGTTCTTAGCCTTATACCAGCCACCTGTATTTAACTTCAAAGGCAGAGGCTCCATATTATGAATCATTTCCCTCCAGGCTATGTGAGGTGTTTTTTTGTTTGTCTGCTTGGCTATATGGAACACTATTCTTAATGTTACCGGCCTTGATTAAAGTCAAATTTCAGTTGGAAGAGAAAGGGTAAGCTTAACCCTGTATACTCTGTGTTCTCCTTTCCAATTAAAACCATTAAGAAACTCCTTATTTAGCATCACACACAGTTTTCTCCTTCATCCTGCATTGGTATGTTTGAAATGAGGCAGCCTATACCAAAACCTTGGCATTTCACTTACTAGATGTAGGGATCTCGAGAAAGTTAGGTATCAGTTTGTTCATCTATAAAATGGGAACCCCTGCCTGACAGGCTTGCTGTAAGAGTTAAAAAAAACATATTTAAAGAGACCAACCTGTACTATTTTCTGTATAAATGACTGTGCCACACCAGATAACTGGTAACCTGACGGACCACAGGGGCAGCAGGGAAGTGCCCTAACCACCAGGTGTCACCACTGGCCCAAAGAGCTGGTCAAGCTGCCAGGAGTGGGTGGGTGGCACCCTGCAGCAAAACGGTAAGACTCTGTCACTTGCACCTACAAGACATTCAAGAACTGGCTTTGGCTTTTCAACACCCTAAGAAGCAAGTACAGCATTTGTTGCACCATTGTAAGTTACATTTTTCTCTTACACATGCATTAAAAATGATGGTAGTATAAATTAATTAGCTGGATATCTACAGAAGATGTGGCTTTTTGTCAACACAATCGAATTTTAAAAACTATCCTAGGCCAACCATTTAATTTTTAGATTCAATAGTGCTTCAACATCCATTGATTTTGCCAACTAGATAGTTCTATTTTCTGGTTTCCAGGCCTTTCAATATTGCGACCGTGGAAAATTCTCTGGCGCCCATTCCACAACCCACTGACACGATTTCATTTACATTTACAGGGATGACAGATCAAAGGAAATAGAAATCAGAATATATTTTAGCGTAGAAATAAAGTCTATGGACAGCAAATTTAGGCAAAATAAGCAGTAACTATCAACTTTCTCCCCTGTTCTCAGCACTTTCAAATTCATTTTAAAATATTTTATTTCTATTTTTTTAAGGAACACTTACCCTAGAGTAAATCTGTTCACCCTCAAACAGCTCCGAATTTCAAGGAACCCTACCAGTCCTCACCAGCCAACGACTCGCCCTGAGTGTGCCCAGGGGTTCAATGAAAATGTATACATTGTGCAAAAATGAAAAATGATGTTAAGAATTATATAAAATAAAATAAAAACAAAAACAAAAAACAAACAAAATGAGAGCTGGGCCTGGCTGGGCCCTGCTTCTGGTTTTAAGTCCTCCACGCCGAGACCCATTAGTGGCCACTTCCAGACGGGGAATATCAGTGTTGGCCTAACTGGGGACGCAGCTCTCTAGTGAGGCGTCAACTGCTGCCCCATCTGCCAGGGAATCAGTCGACTGCAGTCAAGCCCAGGCCTACCCCAGACACATCCTAATTGCCCGGGCTCCCGAGCAACCCACAAGGGAGAAGCAATTTTGACAAGCACAGGCTTCTGTGTAGCGGGAGTTCTCTGACAACTCTGCAGTTTGGGTTATTCTGTTTTTGTTTCAACAATAGCTCAAGTTCCACTTTGCCTTTCGCAAACATGGAACCGTCTTAAGAGAAATCAGACACCTCGGCTGCCACTGGCGGAGGTTCCCATTCCTAGACAATTTAGGAGCAAAGAGCAGCTCCCAGGAACCATCTGGAACCGGGAGGGCAGGAGCCAAGCCCAACAGAAATGAACCCATTTGCGCAGCACTTTGTGCAGATCAATAAATTCCTGCCTGACTTCAGCTCGGGCCCTGGAGAAAGGCGCTCACGAGGCTGGCCGCCCTCCAGGAGCAAATGGGTCAAGACCGAGATGCTGGGGCCGCTGGCGGTGGGTTGAGCGCAGCGCTGTGAGGCTGTCCCCAGCCTCTGCACCGCGGGTTCAAGTCCCGGCCGACCAAGGAGCTACCCACACGGCGCGGCAGACCTCTCCTGTCTCGCCCGCTGCTCCCCTCAGCAGTGCATTTCAGTCATTCCTCCTGTCTGCTCCCCACTCTGTCTCTGGTGGGTCCCCTCACCCCTCGCATCTCTGGTCTGTACCCCAGTTCTTGTATAAATAAATCAACCTTAAAAAATGAAATAAAATGTGTACAATCATATTAAAAAAAAAAAAAGCCCGAGACGCTGCCGAGCTCACGAGCCGCCGCCGGGGGGTGGGGGGTGGCCGCGCCGGAGCGGGGGGCGCGGGGGGCGCGGGGCGGGTTACCTGGGGGACTCGGCGGTGAAGCTGCCGCCGTCCAGCAGCCGCATCTTGCAGAAGAGCACCCCGTTCACGACGGGCACCGAGGAGAGCTCCTCGAGCTCGAAGTCCACCTTAAACTTAAACTTCTTCTTCTTCATCATCGTGAGAGGCAGGCGCCGGCGAGCCGCGCGCGGGGGCGGCCCCGAGGGGCGCGCGGGCCGCCGCCGCTTCAGCTCCGCCGGGCCCCGGGCCCGCCCCGCCCCATGGCGGGGGCCGCGCGCGCCACGCGGGGGCACGGCCGGGGGGCGCCGCGGGCCGGCCGGGGCCGCCGCCGCCGCCTCTCGCGGCAGCTCGGGCCAGGGAGCGGCGGCGGCCGCGGCGCGGAGCCCGCCCGCCCGCGGGGAGCGGTCGCGCGGCAGCTCGCCTGGCGGGGGGCGCCTCCCGGTGCGCGCGCTCCGCCGCCGCCGCCCGTCTCCGCGCCGGAGAGCGGCTCGGGCAGCGCCGCGCCTCAGGGGCGCCCCCAGCGGCCGCGGCCGGCAGCGCACCGCGGGGCGGAAGCGAGGCGTGTGGGGCTGAGGGGCTGAGGGGCTGAGGGGCTGAGGGGCTGAGGGGCTGTGGGGCTGTGGGGTTGTGGGGCGCGGGGAGGGGGGCGGCGAGGAGATTCAGGACGGGCGGGCGCTTCTCCGAAAACACCCACCCACGACGGCAGTTGGGGCGTCGCGCCTCCCCGAGCTTACAAAAAGACCAACCCGAGCGGAGACGAGCTTCCTTTCGCAGCTTCCTCCCGGCCTTTCTTTCAGTTTTCGCTCCGCCTGCCTCCCCCCTCCCCTTCCCGTGATGTGTTTGTGCCTTGGGATTTGGGAGTCGTGGGTTAATAGGGTTAACCTGGATCTCCCAGGCGTTGTTTTCGTCAAATCGAACTCCTAAAACTGAAATTGCCTTTAGCAGCTTTTGCAGTAGGATCATTGTTTATTTAATTAATAAATATATTTTTTACATCCTTTTTCATTTTTGCACAATGTGTGTATTTTCATCTTGGTTATAGTCCCCATACAATTCCCACCACCCTTGTTTTGACCCTAATCCCTCCTCCCCGCGCGCACACACACCCCCCCTCACCCACCCAGTGTGTCTCTAGTTTAGTTGATTTTGATTTTTACCTTTGTTTTTTAAAGATTTATTTATTTATGCATACAAGAGATGGGTACAGGCCAGAGATGGGGGGAGGGCGGTGAGAGGAGTCACCAGAGACAGAGGGGGGAACAGAACAGGCAGATTGACTGAAACATACCGCTGAGGGGATCAGCGGATAAGGCAGGAGAGATTTGCTGCGCCATGTGAGTTTCTCCCTGGCGGGGGATCGAACTCCTGCTGCAGAGGCTGTGGATTGCTGCATAGTGCGGTGCTTCACCCTTTGTGCCAACAGGGACGCCGATTTTTACTTTATTATAATTAGTCTTTTTCCTGGCCCCTTATTTAGGTTTTCTCAATTCCTGCTATGAGTGAGACCCTCTGGTATTTTTCTTTTTCTTTCTGGCTTATTTCGCTGAGCATGATCCCTTCCAGCTCCATCAGCTAATCTTTGACAAAGGAGCAAAGAATATGCAATGGAGCAAAGAAAGTTTATTTAATAAATGGTGCTGGGAAAAATGGGTTGCTACATCAAAAGAATGAAGCTTGACTACTACCTCACACTATGCACAAACACCAACTCAAAATGGATTAAAGAACTAGACATAAGACCTGAAACCATAAAATATATCGAAGGAGATATAGGCGAAACACTACATGACATGAATCTCAGCATCATCTTGAAAGACTCATCACCCAAAACAGTGATTGCCTTTAGCAACTTTAAATCCAGGCAACTTCATATATGAGGTGAGGGCAGGGAAATCCCCAGCGGCCTCATATTGAGGGGCCACCTGGTGCCAGGCACAGTGTGACTACACAGATGTTTTCTCTCCTTTATACTTTAATTTCTGCTACCTAGGACAGAAAGAGTACAGGAGGGGTTAGAAATAACAGCTTCCCTTTTAAAATTTGGCTACCCACACTGAGAACTGAAAAGCTTAAAAGTAAGACATCTCCCCAGGGGCATGACAATGATCGGCCTTCTGGGGGCAGGTACATGTTATTACAGTGTATGTTGTCAGCTCTGTTACATAATGTTTGTGTTTTCAAACTCAGTTATTGGCCTTTTAACTCAAAAACTGCTTCGCGATCATCTCTGAAAGGGTATAATTGAAGAGATTCTCTTTCCCAGTTCATCATTTATTCATGCATTCATTCGTAGTCAATTATTTTTAATCGCCCCAAACATTAGTCACTTGGCTAGATCTAGTGATCTCACGAAACGAAACGAAACAAAACAAAACGAAATGGCCTGCCTTCAAGAATTTTATAATGGAGTGAAGGATACATGAGAACTAGTCATTAAGGAACAATAGCTAGCATCAAGGTGTGTTCAGAATGAAGAAATAACCTGCCTAGAATTTAGGGGAGAAAGAAATTGAAGTTAACCAGTGTTCTGAAATTCAAAGAATGAATGGACTTGGGACAAAGTGGGGGGAGGTTCTCCAGGTGGAAGAAGTAGAACCCAAGACCCAGAGGTAGAGTTTAAGAATTTGGGGGTGGGGGTTTATAATGGATGGAGCTTGTTGCCCATTCAGACAATGGTGATAGGTAATAGGAAAAGTTAAGAGGACTTTGGGGTTTGTAAGCTAGGCCGCTAGATGGATGCTGATTCCATTGTTTGAGCTTTGGAAGCAGGAGGAGGGCAGGCTGGTAATAGAAGAGATATGAGTCTTTATGTGACCTGCCTGCAAGCCAGCCAAGGAGAGAAGGGCAGTGTTAGCTCCAGTAAAAGGTTTAGATTGAAAATATGCATTTGGGAATTAGGGTATTTCCTGATGGCTGAAGCCCAAAGAGGAAATAAAATGAGTTACTTGCGCATTTAATGGGTAGACTGAAGAAAGAAAAAGAGACCAGGGGACTCGATCTCTGGGGAGCAAAGAGAACATTTCCAGAAAGCACTGCAGAGCAATCTTGCAGGATTCGGACGGAAAAGAAGTTATTGAATTGAAGATCTATTGATAGGAGGTCATTCATAAATCTTTTTTTTAAAGGTTTATTTTTATTTATGCATACAATAAATGGGGTATAAGCCAGAGGTGTGGGGTGGTGAGAGGATTCACCAGAGACAGAGTGGGGAGCAAAACAGGCAGATCTGCTGAAATACACTGCTGAGGGGAGCAGCGGGTGAGACAGGAGAGGTCTGCTGCACCATGTGGGTAGCTCCCTGGCAGGCTGGGAATGGAGCTGGTGCTGCAGTGGCTGCGGATAGCTTTATGGCCTTGATAGCGCTGTTTTTAACCCCTGCACCACCAGGGAGGCCCTCATCCATAATCTTGACAAGAGAAGTCTCCATAAAAGGTGGTGGCAAAGTAAGACTAAAATGGCCTGGGAAGTAAATAGAAAGTACTAATGAAGAGTGGTTAACAAAAAAGTATTTTTTTCCTGAATCAAGAGAAAGGAGAGTAACTAGAGGAACAGCATTAATGTTTTTTCATTAACATTCAGGAACTAACTGAGATTTACTGAGAGCCCATTAAGTGCATCTAGATCTGAGATGCTTTCCTTATATTCTATATGTTACAATCTATTGGAGGACACAGATAAATAAGCAATCAATTGCAATAAAGTGTAATGTTGAGTTCTATCTTTGTATGATGGAGAATAGAGCATATGACATCAACAAAATAAGTAGGTTTCTGGAAAACTGTCTAGAGTAAGTGACATTTAAACTGGTGGCTGAAAGATGAGAATGGAGGTGGGGGAGCAGTTTCCAGGAAGAAAAGTCATGCATGTGCAGAGACTCAGAGGAAGAGAGAGACGTGCTGCAGGAGGAACTGAAAGTAATTCAGTCTGGCTGCAACTTAGAGTGGGGTGTGGTGATGTGTTTAGCAGGGAGCCATTGAAGTTTTAAAGCAAAGGAATGACATGTTCAGATTTGCATTTCATAAAGTTCTCCAACTGCAGTAAAACTAGAGAAAGGTAGAAAAATTCTAGCACGTCTTTTTAGACTCATAATTTGATTATTTAAACACCTTGTATGAGTCAAGGGCCAGGCAAGAATCAGCCATCATCCTCAAAGTGTTTAAGAGGACTCTACAGAACCAAGAGATCTGGTGGGAAGTTGAAAGGAAAAGAGATAAATACCCTGACTTCTTTTATTTTCTGCTTTCTGAACTCCTGCCGGTACCAACAGATACTAAAAGCTTGAGAAACAAATATATATTTGTGTGTATATACCTATATACACATGATAGTAACTTCCATGTTACTGAGTTATATACCTTTTATTATATAATATGTATTATTGAAATATGTATCACTCTATATAGACAGACAGATGGATAGATCTAGATAATCTCAAAAGAATCAGCCAAGGGAATTAAAAGTAGTAGCCTCTGAGGAGAGCAAAATGAAGGTGGCTTTTGTTGTTTGTAACAAACTCTGTTAAACAATTTGACTAAGTTGTGTACTTATATAGCTATACTATTTTTTTAAGATTTTATTTATTTATTCATACAAGAACTCAGGTACAGGTCCGAGGTGTGGGGGGGGGGGTGAGAAGATTCACCAGAGACAGAGTGGGGAACAGAACAGGCAGATTGAAATATACTGCTGAGGAGAGCAGCAGGTGAGTCAGGAGAGGTCTGCTGTGCCATGTGGTCTCCTCCCTGGCTGGGGATGGAACTCGTGCTGCAGTGGCTACTGATAGCTTCATAGGTTATGTCTTAACCCCTTGTGCAATCAGCGAGGCCCCAATATACTATTTTTTTAATTGTTGATATACAATAGAAAGTTGATAAAAAGTTATGCAGCACTAGGTACAAACACAGTTAACAGTGGTCACCTTGGAGAGTAGAATTATGATGGAGGGGACTGGATGAAATACAGAAATATTTCTGTACCTTTAAATACTGTTTGAAATTTCATCTCCATGAATGTTCAGGGAATAGCTATATTTATCTATCTATAGAGAGTGGTTATAAAAATGTCACAATAGTTGCCGTCTCATATCCACACCCTTGTGTAGTTTCCTCTTAGGTTGGCTGCACGTTTCATCACTTGACTCGTGATCACCAATGGGACAGTAACAAATAAGACAGATACTTGAAAAGTGGTTGTGCAATGGGGCTTTCTCTTGTGCTGCTCTTGGGACCCCTGACAGAGCCATGGGGTG